CGACTATTAGGGATGAGTTCAGTGACTGCACTGTTTTGACAATCGCTCACCGATTGAATACAGTCTTGGATTACAACAAGATTTTGGTTTTAGACAACGGAGTCATCGCTGAAATGGATTCACCGAACAATTTACTCAAAAGACCTGATTCTCTGTTCTATGGTTTGGCCAAAGAATTCGCAATTGTTTAGTGCATCGATTCATACAAACCATTCATTTCATGATTTATTATATTCTGTATTATATTTATTATAACGACTAAAATAAACATATAATACATTAACTTAATATTTTAGTATAAAGTTATTTCATTTTCCCAAAGTATAGTTCTGTAATATGTAATAATTTGCTACATTTAATAATAGCAATTAGTTTTTATTATTTTGATAATTATTTTTATCTCGATTATCCAATTTATGGTTTATTTAAAGTTAAGGGTTTTATTGTTTGCATTCACGTATCATATATGAGACACAGACTGTATATATGAGACTCACTTTCAGTTCAATTCGATTGATAAGAATATTCTGTATAATTCATAAATACAATGCAATCAATACGAGTCCCCCATATGCTATGCAAAGCCTATAAGCGCCTACACTCCCCTCAACTCCCAGTCCACAATTTATGTGACGTTTTCCGTGAACACTCACTCCATGTGTTTGTGTTGTCTGTTCAGTGGACCCAATGTATTGAAGTGTTGCTCACGAGTGGTGCAACACTTGATGTCTTCAGTTCCCAAGCAATGTCTATACGTTTGGATTACGTTTAGTACGAGACTTAATGTCACCATCTGTTCCATCCGTCACGGATTGTTGCCATCAATTGTCCAAACGTTTGGTTTTCGGTCACAAAAACGCTAATCAATTCAATGATACATACATTTACCTCAATATTCATATCGTGTTCAATGAATATTGAATATAATTATGAATGCAGTCATACTGTAGTCATACTGTAGTCACTGAATATGTCTTATCACACAAAGTGTTCACTAATTATGAATATTTTGTGACCGAAATATTAATCATTAAAGTGCTTGCTATCAATGACTTCATTAAATCTATAGTGATTTTCAACTTTTTTTGTATACATATATAATAAATATATAATATATTTATACTTATTCGCAATGATTACAGTATTTATTAACAGTAAATAAGTTTTTATTTGCTCTCAAATATATTGTTTAACAAATGTTATGTAATATAGCGACTATTTTATACAAATATTTTTAGCACTGATTTTTATGTATACAGTAGTTTTTAATGAATAAATGGTTTTTTGTATTTTCTGATCACAACTTTGAAAAGTGATTCAAATTATTATTTCATCGATTGTTTGTAATTTAATAAATGTGCAAAATTATAGTATATAAGTATTGAATAAATATATTTTTCACGGCCTTGTTACTTGTTAATAGATTCTCATATTTTTATAGTGAATATTTAATAATGTTAATATTCAGTACCAATCAGTTCACTACAGTTATAATGAACTAGATTTTTGGAGTTTAACTTAACTTTTAATAAGTTTTAATAAATGCAATAAAATGTCGCAAAATAAGTCAATTATGTTTTGTAATACGGCTTTTTGGGTGAGTTTTGTCACAACTCTTTATCTCATAACAATGAATACAGTATTATTGCTAATTACCGTATATGTCATAATTATACAGTACAGTAGTATTTCTGTTTTTTTGTTAAAATCCAAACTTGCAAAATTTAAGTTTCATAACTAAACATCATTTTTATACAATTTGATTTATCATTTTCCAATTGCACTTAAAATCTTACACATAGACATCAAATATTTCCTTGAATCAATTTAAAATGCAAAAAAATTTATATATATTATATAACATTTCCAGAACTGGACTCTGAGTTGGGATTCCGATATCCCGGTACTGACCGACTGTTTCACACAAACAGTATTACCAGTGATTCCACTCTCAGTCCTATTACTACTTCTTCCGTACGATATATATGTTGTCCGCAAATCCAATCAAAAATTACCGCCAATTCCCTATCAATGGAGAAATTTATTGCATTTGGTATTTATTAAAAAGTTGGTTTTATATTTAAAAATATTAACTTGTTCGTTTACTTTTATAGCTAACAATCATTTGCTTGAATGTTATATCATTTATAAACTTAGCGAAGAGTTTGTGGAATTATTTTTCAAATGAAATCCATTTATTATTAATAAGCGAAATATTTTCGCATTCAATCAAATTGATCACTTACTTCTTGGTCACCACTTTTATTGTCATATTCCGTCGGTATGGGCACCGGCATCCCAGCTCCATACCTATCCAATGGTTGACCAGCTTAGTGGTTGTATCCATTAATATGTATCAATTCCTGCAAATAAATAATAACAAAAGCCTTGTATTGGAAACTATATTGAGATCTATTGAAGCATTCCTTACACTTCAAGCTCTGGTTCTCTCATGTCTTAATCAAAAAGTGTTTGAATTTCAAATATTAGACTCCGATAGTCGACACATATGTCCGATGAATGACTTTAATATATTCTCCAAAATATTCATTGTTTGGCTCAAAGACATCCTAAAACACGGCTACAAAACAAACACAGATTTGAGTCAACATTTGCTTCCCATTTGTGATTACATTAAATCCAAGAATGCTTTCGATTCGTATGAATCAACGAACAGGAAATACAATTCAAATCCATTGGTCAAAGAAATCAGATTATTGCCAATGATATGGTGGACGGGTTGGGTGCCATTCACAGTGTCGGCGCTCATGGAGTTCGGTGGCATCGCCGCCGAATTCATTCAGCCCTACATTCTGTCCAAACTCATAGACTTCGTGTCGGAGTCCGACCATCTGTGGCACGGATTGTGTTACGCAATGGCCTACTGTTTCTCTAACCTATTGGCCCGACTATTTGAAGCCCACTCCTATCTGTTCATAAGTCTGGCCTATTATAGGGTGAAGTCATCCCTCATAACAGCTCTCTATAGAAAAATGCTTAAACTAAGTGCCAGTTCTCGTAGGGAATACACAACCGGTAGACGATTAACAGAATATTCTGTAATTATTTGTTAAATAATAATTTTTGATTTAAAGGTGAAATCAATAACATAATGGGTGTCGATATTGAAGAGGTCTGTGATTTACTCCATTCAATGACAACATTGTATTCAATCCCAACAAGTCTTGGAATCGGAGCCTATATTCTGTGGCAACAATTGGGTCCGTCATCACTGACTATGTTTGGTGTTATGCTAGTCGTGGGTCCGTTCACAACGTATATTATGAGTCGTATCGATGATTTTCAAACCGAACAAATGGAGCTCAAAGACAAACGTATGGAACAAATCAGTGAAGTATTAAATAATGTAAAACTCCTCAAACTGTTTGGTTGGGAGAAGCCGTTCATCGATAGGATATCCAAAACACGACGCGAAGAGTTACACAAATTAGGTCTGACTAACAATTATTGGTCTATTATGGAGGTTGTCTGGACGGCTGTCCCTATGATTATCGCCGGACTTACATTTACTGTATTCACGATGACATCCGGACTGCCTTTCACTGCGAAGACGGCTTTTGTTTCGCTCTCTGTATTTAATTTATTGGGAGATCCAATGGCCAGGTATTCAACATTTATTATAATTTAGTTCACATGCAGTATAGAAATTTACTATATTTTGTACAAATCTCAGACTTCCCAACACCTTAACCCACTTGACTCGAGCTATTGTCTCGTTTCGAAGAATTCGTAAATATTTAAGTTCTGAAGAATTAGACGAAAGTCTGGAGAGAAGAGACGATTCAATTGATGAGAGATATGCCGTGTGTTTGAAAAAGTGTTGCTTTTCGTGGAGTTTAGAAGAAGAGCCGATTCTAAAGGATATTACACTGAATGTGAAGAAGGGATCGTTGGTTGCGATCGTGGGAAGAGTGGGATCGGGAAAGTCGTCCCTATTTTCAGCACTAATGGGCGATATGTACCAAACGGGAGGCTCGAGGAGTGCAATGAGGGGTTCGGTGTCTTATGTGCCACAAACCGCTTGGATTCAAAACCTAAGTCTAAGACAAAACATAGTGTTTGTGTCGGACTATGATCAGGGCAAATATGAACGGGTAGTGAAAGCGTGTGCTTTGGACTCGGATTTCAATTCACTTCCGGCAAAGGATTTGACAGAAATCGGCGAAAAGGGAATCAATTTGAGTGGCGGACAGAAACATAGAGTGAGTTTAGCCCGAGCTGTATATCACGGGTCAGACATCTATCTGTTGGACGACCCGTTGGCTGCAGTGGACGCACACGTCGGACAACATCTGTTCCAACGAGTGATTGGACCGAAAGGACTGCTGAGGAATACGACACGAATACTGGCCACACATCACATGGAATTCCTTCGCGAAGCCGATCACATACTGGTGTTGAGTGAGGGAAGGGTTGTTGAGTCGGGTGGTTATGATCACATGGAATTCCTTCGCGAAGCCGATCACATACTGGTGTTGAGTGAGGGAAGGGTTGTTGAGTCGGGCGGTTATGACGAGTTGGCTGAGAGGGGAGTGCTTTCCGACCACGAGTTCAATGAGTCGGACAATCAGTCCAAAGGAAGTGGGGATCAGATGTCGCGACAGACCTCTCGAGTCAGTGAAAGTGATTCAATAGGAAAGATGTCGAGACAAACATCGAGACAGATATCCAGGCATTTGTCGACTCAAGTATCACATAAGAGCGATACGACTGAACCGAAGACTTTAAAGGATAAAATGGAAAGAGAGGCCGAAAATAGTCAACTGATTGATGAGGAGTCCCAAGAGTTTGGATCCATTAAATTCACTGTTTATTTGGATTATTTGAGACGAATTCCGCTGTTTTTCGTATTATTTCCTCTAATGTGTGCCGTTTTGTTCAATATGTGTGAAGTCGGCGCTAATTATTGGCTAAACATCTGGACGTCACAGAACTCCACACAAATTGAAGACAAATCCAACAGAAATTACTTCTTAAGTATTTATCTGTCGGCTATTGTTTTGGACGCCGTGTTAGTCCTTATAATGGATGTAGTCATGCGATACGGAGCTATCAAAGCCTCGGAAGTACTACACAAAGACATGTTGTATTGCATTCTGCGAACCCCTCTGTCCTTCTTCGATGTGACCCCTTTGGGACGAATCATAAACCGATTTAATCGCGACTTCGAGATGATTGACGAAGAAATACATGAAAGTATGAGTGAAACGACTATGACTTTCATATGGTTTCTGCTTATTCTTGGAGTCATTATCTACACGAATGCTTATATGGCTATTCTCATAGTAATCGTCGTTATATTGTTTATATTTCTATACGTAAGTTTAAATCTGTTTAATTTGTTCCAGAATATTCCAGTTTTAACAATATTTTATTTTTCTTAATCAGAGAATCTATTTGTGGACTTCAAGACAGTTAAATCGTCTCAATTCCATCACTCGGTCTCCAATTTATAGTCACTTCAATGAAGGCATTTCCGGTGCCGTCTCTATCCGTGTCTACAAAGTGCAGCAATTGTTTACCGAAAAGTTGCAGAACTATATCGATGTCAACACTAATGTTGAGAGACATATGTATTCGACAACTATGTGGTTAGTCTTACTTAAAAAATATTTTGATTTCTTACTACAGTATTATTAATGTGTATAATCAATAGGATTGATATTTGGTCGACAATCATAGGAATGTTGATTACATTCTCGACGGCATTATTTGTTGTCCTGGACAGGGGTCACATCACTCCAGGATTGGCTGGTTTTGTGCTCATCTATTCGGTTGATGTCATTAACAGTATTTCATGGGCTCTAAGAATGGCTGCGGATCTCGAAACAGAAATGGTTTGTGTGGAGAGAG